CAGGCATCTGGTCAATTTATCCCAAAGTGTGAGACATTAGAAAGTTGGGAATGTGGGCAGGGCTGACGAGTCGCTGGCCTGAATCACCAGATAGGAAACGGGGTGGTGAGAAAGCCAAAAGATCAGGAGTGGGTCACGTTACAGGTGATCAGGTCCCAGAGGGTCAAAGCGCTATTTCACCCGCGAAATTCTACAGGTCAAGGAGGTTATGTGATGGGAGGCGGGAGGGAGGTTGTCATGAATCGGGCAGGTTGTATGTGAATACAAGGGTTAAAATACCTTATCGGATTATGTGACCCCAGAGGTCAGTTTCCACAGGATAAGAAATTCACAAAGGGACAGAAGGATCAAAGTCTGGGGCCCAAGTCACAGGGCCGTATATGCCAATGCGCTGCAGAAAGATCACGCGATTGCGGCTGCCAAGGAATACAATGACAGCCATTGGTGAGGATGTCTGAGACCCTCCCCCCAAGTTTCTAGCTAGGCTTGCCAATTCTGGTTTGGGACGTTCCTGGAGATCTGGGGGTGTTGCCTATGGAGGGCAGGGTTCAGAGATGGGAGGGAGCTCCGTGGAGATGGGATTCCATAGGGTCCACCCTCCAAAGCAGTTCTCTAGGGGAACTGATTTATGTAGTCTGGAGGTCAGTTGTAATCCCGGGAGATCTCCAGGCCCCACCTGGAGGCTAGCAACCCTAGGTTTGAAAATTATTCCTCAGGGTAGATTTTCTGGGACAGGTGTGTTGAATTTTTTAAAAATTCACCCGAGCAACATTTATGTGCAAAATCCACCTCAGCAAAGTTAAAATTCCACCTTGGTTGGCCCGAATAACTATATTACGGGATTCCAGTGAATCTGTCCTGATGGACTACACTGATTTTTATCTTATTTTATTTACCAAATTTATATCTTGTTTTTCTGCCCTCACAAGGGCCACCAAGGCAGCTAATTATTTAAAACATACATGATGAAAATCACATTTTGAAACCATTAAAATTAACTCCCCAACACATCATTAAAACAAATTTGAAACAGAGTTAAAGTACATACAAAGGCATAAAAGAGCAATGAAAACATGATCATCTAGGCCACAGAGAGGGCTCTGAGTGCCACCTCTGGCACCCGTGCCATAGGTTTGCCACCACTGGTGTAAGGAACTGAAGGAATAATGGGGGGAGGGAAATCACATCCTGCATAGGAAAACCACATGTGCCATTTTATTTATGAACACATCATTTTATTTTATTTTTCAGTGTACAAAGTTCAAAGGGGCAGTAAAAAATTTACAAAGCAGTGAGCGAACTTCAGGATTACACAAAATTATTCCTCAGGGTAGATTTTCTGGGACAGGTGTGTTGAATTTTTTAAAAATTCACCCGAGCAACATTTATGTGCAAAATCCACCTCAGCAAAGTTAAAATTCCACCTTGGTTGGATATTACAGGATTCCAGTGAATCTGTACTGATGGACTACACTGATTTTTATCTTATTTTATTTACCAAATTTATATCTTGTTTTTCTGCCCTCACAAGGGCCACCAAGGCAGCTAATTATTTAAAACATACATGATGAAAATGATGAACGAAAACAATGAAGACATGTCAGCTAGCTGACACTTGCCCTGTGGAAGGGCACTTAAAAGATATTTAAGTGTTCTCTGAGCTGTGTTTTCCCAGGTCCTATGATTGCCCCCCCCCTCAATTCAGCAGTGGGAGGGAGAAGGAAGCCTGAAACGATGTCACCCTGCCTGCAGCCAGCATTGGCGCGGGGGGTGTCTCTTCTCATAAATAAGTTTTCTGGGGGAAGGAGTGGAGGAAAGGGATATATGGGGGGAAGAAATGAAAGTATACAAATGTAATGTTGTTTGTTAATAATATCCAAATAATAAAATTGTGTTTAAAAACAAAACAAAACATGATCATCTAGGGAATTCTTATCTTCTGCATAAAAAGATAATACTGGGAATTCGTCTTATTTCCCCATGAGAAGAATTTGAGGATGATCTTCCCTTCACATGTCTGAAGAAGTGGACTGTTAGTCACAGAAGCTCATACTGGACTAAATGTTGTTAGTCTTTCAGGTACCACTGGACATTTCTTTTATTTTGCTACAACAGACAAAAATAGCTGCTTTATCTTTGAGCAGAGGGGTTGCCAACTGCAGATAGGGTGACTGCCTGGAGATTTGGGGGTGAAGGCTGGGGAGGGCAGGATTTGTGGAGGGGAAGGGACCTCAGCCCAGTCCAACTTCCAAACCAGCCATTTTCTCAAGGAAAGTGATCTCAATAGACAGGAGACCAGTCATAATTCCAGTAGATCTCCAGGCCTCACCTGGAATTTGGCAACCCTAGCAAGGACACCACAGCATTCAGCTACAAAAGTCCCTACAAATTTCGCGTCCCCTTCCGACGGAGGCACGGGTCCTTCTGCAAGACCGGGGGGTGCCCGAGCACACAAACGGGGGGGGGGAATAGAAGAGAAGCACATTTACCTTGTTCATCCCATTCCCCATGGCTCTTAAGCGATTGGAAAACTTTGGCAGGCAGACACAGAACCCGGAGGCAGCCTAAGGGGTGGATAGCTGCAAAGGGGGGGGGGGAATGCGGCGGGGGGGGAGTAAGAGGAAAGGGGGGTATTTA